CTTACAAAGCTCCTTTCCTCAGGTGGACGGGACGCTTTCGGTGGCACGGTTACGTTTCATACGGAAATAAGTTAACAGCTGGCTGCAAATTGAACTAAGGGCAGAGACGGAGCTGTTTTGGGGAGCCTGGACATTCCACCTCCCTTTCCTGGAGGATGAACACTATTTTAGGAGGCACCTAATGCCAGGAAGCTCGGGAGCATCAGGGCATGGACCGCTTTTACCTGAGCCATGGTCTCAGCGCAGGCGAGCACAGGCATAGCACCAGCATCTGTCCCCTTTGCGGGGACCAGAACCTTCCTAAAGCTGCACCCGCACGTGTCCCAGCCCCAAGCACAAGGAGAGGGACCCTGGGAGGGCTCTGAGCACCATTAGCAGCAGCAGTCCCGTTCAGGGCCATGTTTAGTGATGCCGTCTTACAAGGAAAGCGAGCCAGCAAAGCTACGTCAAGCCTGGGATACGTCTGATGCTGTGGCAAGCCGGAGAACGGAAAAATCATAGAATCACCGAATCGTTAAGGTTGGAAAAGACCTTTAAGGTCATCAAGTCCAACCACCAACCCAACACCGCCGTGCCCACTAAACCATGTCCTGAAGTGCCACGACTACACATTTTTTGAACACTTCCAGAGATGGTGACTCCACCACCTCCCTGGGCAGCCTGTGCCGATGCCTGACCACCCTCTCGGTGAAGACATTTTTCCTAATCTCCAGTCTAAACCTCCCCTGCCGCAACTTGAGGCCGTTTCCTCTTGTCCTATCGCTGGTTACTTGGGAGAAGAGACCAACACCCACCTCCCTACAACCTCCTTTCAGGTAGTTGTAGAGAGCGATGAGGTCTCACATCATCACCATCATCTCAGATGCCCATGCTTGCAGCCTGCACAGCCCCTCACCATGGAGAGAAGGGCGAGGAGAAGACGCAAGAGAGGCAAAGGCACGTCCCGACAGCAGCGTTACCCGTGGCCAATTCCAGCTTGACGGCTGCCAAACTCACCGTGAGCACCAGCAGCAAAGGTCTTGGCTTGAGGGACGCCTTGTCGCAGGCTCCCTACTCTTGTGATCACAAAGGTCGAACCTTTCGGAGCTCACGCTTACGTTCCTTACCTGCACCTCCTCCCCTTAGGCCATAGACTTGGCCATTCCCCCAGAGGACCGTGTTCCCCAGGTCACTGCACACAAAAGTCTCCAAAAGCCAACATTCTCCAGCAGCTCAACTGCTTTGCCAGCCTGCACGTAGCTCCGGGGACCTCACAAAGAGCTCCTTCCTCGCTCAGGCGCCTGCCACCCACATCCACCCACACAGCCCCAGCCCGCGCTCGCCCCGGCAGTTTTGACGAGTGAGACAGCGGCATCGCCCTCACCGCCGCAGGCGAAGGTGCCACCCTCTCTCCGCCCTCTCCAGAGAGGAGTAGGCATCAAACGAGGATGCCAACTCAACGCAACTTCACCTGCCGCCAACGTGCTTGGGGTCGAGCTGATCTGCCCGGCCCGGCAGAGCCCGGAGGATCCCGGGGAAGGGGGAGCGCCTGCACGTTGCGGCTGGACACCCGCCGGATTGTCTCTTATCCCTAAAACCCACGCAAGCACCTTTCCATAATCAGCTGGTACAGAAAGGTCACGAGCACTGGGAAGCCCCAGTGAAGTCAAGGGCCCCAGGAATAGACATCTGCAAAACGACTTTTAGCTAAATGGTTTTTAGGTCTTAAACACTGATATTTTTCCTCTCAGGAGGAAATTAGCTCATCCCGCCCCCGAGGCTGGTTTTCCAGCTCAGGCTGTAAGGAGCAGCCGTCTCCCGAGTGCCCCTCTCCGCCGCGCGAAGGGATGCGAATTGCCGCAGGTATACGGGGCTAACGAGGGATTTCCGGCTTCGCGGGGGGACGAAGCCCGCGGAAGCCGTGCCCGCACGAGGGGGCCTCTTGGAGCAGGGGGACAGGGCCACCGGAGAAACCCCGGTGCCGTACGGACACGCCGAGCGGAGATTTAACTAGCGCCTCACGATACGGCCGGCCGACGCCACCAGAGGGAGAGCTGCTCGGCCTTTCTCCCCCGTAACCGCGCCAACCGAACATCCTTTTACCGCGTAACAGCATCGCGCGGCGCGCCATGATGCGCATCGCCCTCGCCTACGGTGCCGAGGGAGCCCAAACGCCAGCCCGACACCCGCAGCGGGTAGGGCCTGCGGGGGCACGGAGGAAGCAGGAGCGCACGGAGGACGAACCACGGGAAATTCACGGTCCACGGGAAATTCACGGTCGCCGGAGCACTTTAAAACCGCACACGCACGCAAAAAAAAAAAAATCCCCTACCGCGTCCGGGGTTTTGCAGTCACCGCCGTTTTTTAAACAGCGGGCAAGGAGCATTTTTAAGAGCAGGCTTAAGGATGCATCTGTGAGGAGCGGTCCAGCTCTGGCTGCTCCTGGCAGGAAGGCAGGGATGGAATTAGATCAGCATTCATCATCCGTTTTAAAAATCAATTTTCACATCAGCTTTCTGGAAAAGCCCAGATGGTCTTTGCTAGTGTGGCCGCAGCGGCTTTCGGTTACGGCCAAACGCAAAAATCAGACCAGGATGACATTTTTGAGTCTGGCCTTTCACGTGCTTCCAGCTGATTTTCTGGCAAACCCGTTCAAAAAAATCTGTCTACTACGGGGACGTAAGCACGGCACACTGGGAAGAGCCAAG